ATGATAATTACAGCTTACCAGAAAGGATAATATACAAGCCGTGTAGCATTGAATACCACAGCAAATAACACAAAAATTATGTTGGTTGTAGTTTCCCACTTGGCATAATTAAACACTTTTGCTGACTGAAATAAGGAAACAATCATGTTATCAAAATCAGTTAACATTACGGTTACTAGGAGTACCTTATAAATTAAAGATTATGGATTATACCTTAGTGCTTCACAATGACCCATTTTATAGTTCTCTGCTTAGTGATCATGTCTTTGAACAGAAGCAGGGCTAGATTTTACTTTGTTGTGATAAACACCTTGCCTGTTATTATGCTAACTAGTTTCTAATCTTTATCAATACAACGTCAACCTTAACCTGGCTTCCAGGCATAGGCCCAGTTATGTTCAACTAAGTTTTAAATTAGCAGTAAAAACCCCTTACTGACCAAACATGAGGGCCATACTAAGAAATACTGAAATCTAAATGACTGGAAATCAAGAGCTTACAATCTAATTGTTTTGGTATAAATCTACGAGTCATTCAAAAGTTTATCTAAATCCTCTTCACAGACACTTCGAACATGCAAAGAAGTGACTGCCAAATGCACACTGCTACTAAGCTACTCTGTATCTACAACAGAATAGCTAGTGAGTGGCATAGCCAATCAAAGAAAGTCATTTGTGATAGAATGCTGGAGGTAGATTTATACTAATTGTTCATAAACCTACATTTTAAGACAAAACTCACCTCAAGAAAAATGTCAGCCAAATCATGCAACAGAATTATAACAGAACCAATACGGAAGAAACCAGCTGTGTAGGAAAATGTTGTCAACATGACTGTGACTATGTGATGAATGACCATTTGCCAAAAATCCTACAAAACATAAAAATATCATTTATTTAATAGGCTTGATTACCAGCCACTGTTTGGCAAATTTCATGGTGTCACATGTGTGACCTTTGACGTGACATTTGCTACGCCACAGTCAAACAGCTCTGCTCTACTTAAAACTCTTCCTCAGAACACAGCGTATAATTATTATCTTCCACAGCAATGGTGTGAAACAAAATGGTTGGACAAACAAAACAAAAAGAGAATTGTGTATGTACAAGTGTTACGACCTGTAGGTGTAATGTGGGCCTGTCTATGATTACCACGTGATGACATTTCCAGAGACCAGAAGCACTACATGAATTTCAATGATTATGAATCTGCATCACAATCATGCTTTGTCGCTCATACGTCTGGCTGTCTCTTCTTGGGAAGGAACATAAACCGGACTCGAGAGATTAGCAAAATCAAGCCTACTATTTTAATCAGCCCTGTCGCACCATAGTTTTTAACCCATCACAGGACTGCAAATGACAGTCTGTCATTGGTTAATCAAAATTGGCCAATATCCAACAACAATTTGCAGCCCTGGCATGTAAATGTTCACACCTGAGCATGTGATTTAATGAGTTAAAATTTAGCGTAAATTACTACAGCTAGCTGTAAAAGATAAACTTATGAAATCACAAGTAAACAAACCTTTCTCTTGACATCAACAAACAAGGAAATAATCAAGGATATGTAAAAGCCAGTTTCAATCACATAATAGTAAAATATTTCATCTGTGTAAGGCTACAAAAGAAATGAGAAAAACAACAACAAAAAAAAAACACAAGAATTACCCTTCCTGAAGTCAAGTGGCTATAAATAAGAAGTATTAGAAAACAGATCACATTAAATTCATAAATTTAAGTTAAATCATTAGAAATCCATTCTACAACACTATTGTGCATAATTCAAGGCACAAAGAAGTGTTTTCTCGACATTCTAAGGCTACTGGAGCAACCTGTCAGACACAGTAGCCTCATGGTTAGCATGCTTGACTCTGGGTTCAAGCCCTGGCCGGGGATGTTGTGTTGTGTTCTTTGGCAAGACACTTTACTCTCACAGTGCCCCTCTCTCCACCCAGGTATATAAATGGGTGCTGGTGAATTTAATGCTGGGGGGGGGTGAACCCTGCAATGGACCAGTAGCTACAGAAACCAAAGAATGGGCCACTTGGCTTGTATGTGTACTTTTCTTTTTAGGAAATAGCTCCTTAGATTAAGTGATAACTTTCGCCCCTGTCTAACTGACTCCACAATAGTCACTAGGTCATGAAGACCCATTATTTTTGTAGGACACTTTAAAACATTACATCACAGTGATTAAACAACTGAGCTTGGCTTGCCATGTGAGGACAACAGCTGGTTATTGACTTCTCAAGTGTCTACTATTTGGCAAATTAAAGTCCTCCCTGTGCGAACTCCAAAAAGCTTGGTGATCTTTTTTCAGAGAGTAAATTGATACCTTTGATACATGATGGAATAATTAAAAATGATTCATACCCTTCATTTAAAATAATTTCCTATCATCTTTCAGTATTGACAAACTTAGTCCATTCTTTAAAACCACATACTTGAACATCTGGAAACCAGCAAAGCTTAAATGATATTCCCCATTCCAAGCCAGTTTCAGTTAAAACATGGCCCATGGCTTGAAATAATCAAAAATATCATTGGTAAAGAATGGATTAAATTTCTAAATACAAACCTGGCGGCCATGACCAATAAAACAAAGTCGAAGATCCCACAGCCAGGGTTCCTAAAAAAGGCATAAATGAAATAAAATAACATTTCACATTTTGAGCAATTCAACAAGAAGGCAATTAAAAAAAAGAAAAGAAAAGCTATACACTGATGCAGCTTAATGCCCAGGTGCATCATGGAGATGGACTGAGTACAAGAAATATTACACCTTCTTGGACTCTTCTCAGACATTTAAAACAGTATCCTTTTCCTGTATATCACATTACTTCACTTCAAATGTTTTACCAGCTGGCCTATCATATTTGCTTTATAAAAATAATTAGTAAATGTCAGAGAGAATCATTCCATTTTCATCAGTTGGAATATGTCTTGATATTCGAGAACATTTCAATAATAAGGGAAGGCTCTTTTCATTCAAAAAGTGGTTTTTGACAACTCAGCTGGTATTCAATTTGATAAGTATCATTTTTCAAAGGACTTTTAACAGCAGGAATTTTGTATCTCCAAAATGACTGCACTTAAATTTTGAAAGGGCATTTGTTCTGAATGTTTTTGCGACATATAAGGATGCTACAACTCTCACAACAGAAGATATGAAGCACAAAACAAGTACTTGCATATTGTATCACAAGCACTAAAAAAGGTCCATCTACAGTCAAGTGGGGGAGGGGATTAAAAACTAGGCCTACAATCCAAGACAAAAAAGTTGGGACACGAAGCAAGTTCTCCCTTCCACCGCTCTTACAATGTTGATAATCAGGTGATTTTTTCCCTTTTTGTTAAAAAAGCGACATTTTCCAACATTGACTGGGGGAGGATGGGGGATACATGATCCAGCACAACTGTCCCAACTACTTTTGTTCGGAATTGTAGGTATATGACAATAACATTCTGGTTTCTGTTCAACACAAAGAGGACACTCATGAGAACAGTTACATGTACAGTGCTTGTCAACATCATCATGTCTAATTCCCTAAGTAGGGAGTATTCATAACTACCAGTATACAATTACCTTATACAATATAACCATCCCGTAAATGGATGTCGCCAAATAGAACACAAACCTCCAACTACAAGATACATGCAAAAGTAATAGTGTAAATTCTGCATACCTAAGATTGTGAATTAAAAGTTTACTTCACATGTAATGTTCTATTAGAAAGAATCATAAAATTTTATTTGTTTTGGTTGATTTGGCTTTTTTCAATGGCACCAAAGGTAAGCACAATTGTTAATTGAGCTTTCTAAATTCAACTCTTTGAAATCTTCATCCTCTTTTAAATTATTGCGATGTTTGAAGTAGCAATCCTTGGACAACCAAATCAACTGAGACAAGATTTAGAGGATCCAAGTTTAAAGCTGCGTGTTTAAATATCAACTATATACCAGTAACAGTTTCATATGATTGTATAACATGCACAACACCAATTGGTAAAATTGGAACTCACAACAACAAATGAGAAACTCTACTTGGTACAAAGCAGTGCACTACTGATCATCAGAATGGACTTTTCTTGACAAAAGTCTTCCTTGTGTACTTTATTGTCTGCTAACTAAAACTAGGAACTGAGTGTTTGTGAAATTTATTGTGTCTTCCTTGGATTCAAAACAAAAAAATTTGGAATGAGGAAAAAACCTGTTAATTTTTTTGAAAAGGAACTTACAACAACAACAACAACAACA